AAGTATGAAGATATAAAAAAAAAAAAAAAAAAAAAAGATCAAGGCACAGGCAGCGGAAGGAGGGAGAAGGAAGGGAAAGCGGATGGATAAAGGACCTAAGAAGCGCTGCGTACAGGTACCAACTTCTCCCAAGGAATGTAAACAGTATTCCTACACAGTGCGCTAATAAACTAAAATTAAAAATAAATCAAGTAATAACAGCTTGTGAGGCTGTGGGGAGAGAGGGGACCCTTCTACATTGTGGGAATGTAAACTAGTACAACCACTATAGAAGTCAGTATGGAGAGGCTTCCAAAAAATAAAATTAAAACATTTATTTGACCCAGCTATTCCCCTGCTACGTATCTTCCGCAAAGAGTTGAAGACATCAGGCTGGGGACTGAGCTCAGTGGTTCTGCTGCCCAGCCTTGCAAGTGCAAGGACCCGAGTTCGATCCCCGGTACAAAAAAAAAAAAAGAGTTGCAGACATCATACTACAGTGATACATACATTCCTATGTTTACAGCGGTACAACTCCTAATAGTTAAATTTTGGAAGCATCTAATTTGTCAAGCAAATGTGATATTTATGTACAGTGGAATGTTACTCTGCTGTAAAGAAGGGTAGTGTAGGAGTCCTGTGCAGGAATATGGATGTACCTTGAGACCGTAATGTTAAGTGAAATAAATCAGACACACAAGCTTGAACGTTGCATGGTTTCTCTTATATGAGAAGCCCAAATATGAATAAATTAAAGAACAAAATAAAAGGCAAATAATAAGAAAGGGAATGTGACCAGGACATGGAGGGAGGGGGGAAGGAGAGGAAGGAGATAAAAAATAATGAAATTGGCCAGGATTTAGCTCAGTGGTGCCACCCCCAGCCTTGCAAGTGCAAGGTCCTGAGTTTGATCCCTGGTACCAAAAAAACCCCAAAAAACAAAAAACAAAAAACAAAAAACCCAAAACAAAACCAAAACCCCCTCCCCAAATAATAATAATAATAAAGATGTGCTATGTAAATGTATCAACTGTGCACAGTGAATATAATCATTCTGTACTGTAGACACATACTAATGAAAATAAAAAGTCAAAAACAACAATGACAACAACAAAAATCAAATTGGCTGGCTAGGTACTTGTCATAATAGGAGGCTATGGGATAAATGCTTCAAAGATGATTTATCTGCATTGCTGCTTTCATAGCTTATTATTAGTGACATTACAATGAGAAGATTTATTGTGATTTTAAAATTCTTTTGGGGGCACTGCAGCCTCAAAATATGTCATTCAGTTTGAGTCACATTAAAATTTTGATATGGGTGATGAAAAATAATTTTTAGGAATTTCAAACGAATAAGTTTAAAGCACAACTTTTAGAAGACAAACTGTTTGTGGCTGAGGACATAACTGTTAGCTTTAAAGCTTTCCCCCCCTCCATCAATGTGCAGGTGCTACGTCGTGACATATATTCTGTTTGTTTTCTAAACAGATAACAATTTTGAGAAAGAAATATTTCCAACAACATTGGAATATATTGGATTTTATTATCATGCTTATTGGGCTCATTGACGTCTTTTGTTTGTACTTCGTCACATTGAGACCGAGCAACTTGTATCTTATCCAGTTAACAGTGGTGTTAGGATATTTAAGAATAGCTAGGCTTTTTCCTCTCTTCAAGGTAAGGCTTTGCATTTTAAAATATTGTATTTTTCCTACTTTATTAAATTATTTACGAAACCTTGCTGTTTTGAGTAAAATGAGGGAGGGAGCTGTCTCTTCGGGAACTCTCTTACGGTAGGAATATGCTTGGTTCATTCTCTTGCCTCCTACAAGTCATTGCTCAAATCTGAGCACGACACAGGCTTTTCCTAACCATCCTGTGAAAAGTGGCAGCTCACCTCCACACCCTAGCTTTGCATCCTCCCAGTCCCCCTCCAGCTGCTTAACTTTTATTTTTCTCCCCAAAGCACTCATCACATGCTTAACACATATTGTACTTGCTTCCCGTGAGGCGGGGCCTTCTTCTTTTGGTCATTGGTACGACCTATGGAATATACTTAAGTACGTAAGAAGTATTTGTTGAAGAATGGATAAAAATATGAAGGGCACTAGAAGCAGGGTGGTTTAGAAATGAGCTCTTCAAGTTTTGGTAATATTTGTTGTCATTGCCCACACTATGAAACAAAAATATTTTCTCTCTAGCCCCACACTCACATGGCATGCTGCTTGTGGAGTTCCCTTTTACTGCCGCTTACAATTATTATTCCTTCTTTCCATGGGTCTGGTTTGAATTCTGAAAGTAGACTTTTATATTCTCAATTTCAACCCTTATGTCTTCTTTTTTCTCTTTCCCACAGAGATACATTGTATAAGCATGTAACTTGCAAGCTGTAAGGTTTCACTTGCCATTTCAAGTTTTGATTTTAATATTTAGTCCATCAAAAGAAATTATTAGTATGAAATTAATTTATAGAGGCTTAATGTTTAAAAAAACTTGCTTTAGACCCGGATGGCAAAATGCATACATTAGAGTCCTCTACCTAGTACTTATCCTCTGAGAAATTTGCTATCATTTCCCACAAATCTTAAAAATATCCCAAATTATTTGGATGCTCAGCTTGTGTTTTAGATTTTCTTCTCTGTTCTTTCCTTTATTCAACATCACTGTTACTAAACTTTAGTGTTCATAAGAATTGCTGTACACGTTTGTATGTATATGCAAAACCTGCTATCATGAGTAATTTTGACTCTATGATCTTTGACTTTTGAGCTGAGTTTAGAGCTAAGTGCTCATATAAATCACGACTCCTCACAATACAAAGTACTCTAGAAATCAGAAGTGAAGCTACGACTTAAAATGAAAGAGAATTTTCTGGGGTAACCAGTTTTCATACAGATATGCATATAAATGTAAGGGAAGTATTTTGGAAGCAATAGTTAGAACAATTTAAAATGAAATAAAGATTTGAAGGTGTATTAGTATCGAAGCCAAATCTATTTAGAATGTGGTCAGCAAGGGTGAACCAGTTGGCCTATCTGTTAGGCATGCTCTGGACAAATCTCAATGGAGTAGATTTAGGGAATCAATATTATTATGGTTAGCTTTTGTCTTGAGTACTTCTATTTGCCAAGGACTGAATAAAGCACTTCAAATACATTACGTAGTTAAACTATTTTAGCAACTCTGGGAGGCAGATGTCCCCACTATTTATGTGCAGCAGCTTTGAAATCTGCATTTGAAAGCTAGGAAGAATATTGGGACCTATACCAGATGCTTTAAGGGACAGCTCAGGGGTGTCAGTGCCCGCTGTGAAAGAGTCATCTAAATAGCTCTCCCTTTGCACAGCATTTCACAATCTAAACAGAAGCTAAAGAAAGTCTCCTTTAATTCCCTCACTTCACTGCGTGCTATTCTCCTGTTTCACTTTTTTCTTCCCTGTTAACCCAGTTCCTCAGCATCTCCCCAGGACTGAGACAGAACTCTGTGGGAAGCCCCTGGTACTTAATACCACTATCCTTGTCTTATACATGAGGAAAGAGCCCTGAAGGTCACTAAGTAACTTGCTCGAGGTCACAGTGTTGGTGACTAGGACAGCTGGCATTTAAACCTAGACAGGTTTATATTTAAAGTCTCATTCCCTTAGGTCACTACACTAGCCTTTCTTAGCCTGGGATTAGAGAAATTTGAAGTTAAGAAAAATAGTAGATATCCCCAATTTATTTTACAAGTGAAGAGAGTAAGGTGCAGAGAAGTGCTTTGTTCAGTTGGTAATTATGAATCAACTTATGGGTTTCCCCCCTTCGTTTCCTGAAATACGGGAGTACAGAGAATGATTGATGGAAAGGTATGCGCTAGGGACTCCACCTAAAGTTATTCATTAAACTTCACTTTCTTTAAAGAGTAGATCTCAAACTCAAGCTTGCACGGAATTGCCAAGAGACTGTTAAAAAAAAAAAAAATGATTGTTGGGACTCACCTGATTCAGCAGAACTGGGATGCAGGTCAAAATTTGCATTTCTAACAAGTTCCTGGGCGCAGCTGTCGCTGGTATAGAGGTGAAACTGTGAGAACCTCTGCTTTACAGGATGCTTTTTTCTGTTGAAACTTACAAGTTTTCTGCCCCCTCTGTTATCACAGATAATAATACCAGTTCTGATACATGTTATAGATGTACAAATCAAAAAACACCGCAGCTTGGTGTATACTATTATAAAAGGCTATGTCAAAAGTCAAGAAGATGCCAAAGTTTTAGTAAAACAAATTTCTGGCCACGAATCAGTGTATCAGGTGAGAAATGAGCCCTGGTCTTTTTTTGTGGGGAGGTTGTGTATCAATAGTGATTTATTTTAACATTATTTCTCCTTGTATTTAACCAAATATACAAATTCCAAAAATCGAAGAGGATTCAATTGTTTATTATGTAGTATAAGGTGCAGTAGAGGAGAACAATCTTGGATCTTTATATTTCTCATAGCAGAAAACAAATGACTTATTTACTGAGTGCAGAGTAAGGAAGAGAGTCTACCTTTGAAATTTGCTCTATGATAGGGCACCGGGGAAAGGATTTATGCAAGAGTTGAGACTTAACACGTCTTCATCTAAAGGGTAAGTCATAACTGGAGAGAAAGAGAGGAAAAGAGAACAAAGATTTCTCGGTGAAATCTTAAAATAGTACTGTGGAGTGGGTGAACAGAGGCATCTATTTTCTGCCATTCAAGACGCTTCTCCTTTCATGCGGTATGCCGTGAGTACCAAACGGAAGCCCAGAGATGGAGTGGGTCATCTCCTACCCAGCCTCCCTGTCCCCAGGCTCCGTGTCAGGCCTCTCTTCGCAAATGAATAATGTTCCTAAAAAAACGATTTTTAAATTTCAGCTTCAGAATATTCAGTGACTCCTCTTGGCACACAGGGTAAGGTCTTTGAATGTAAAACAAACAAACAAAAAACCATAGAAAATTTTAGAAGTCCCCCATAATTTTACAAGTTGGAAAACAGCATAACAATAGAAGTAAAGTATCCCTGCTCAGCCTCTTTGGCTCCCTGAGCAGGACCAATGCAGTTGGGAAAGACCGAGTACCTTACAAAAGGCGGCAAAAAGGGCACCAAGAGGAGAGCAGCTGATCCCTCTTCTAAGAGAGACTCGTATTATGTGAAAGCATCTGTTCTCTCCAGTACAAGAAGTGTTGTGAAAACACTAGTCAGGAGACCCCAAGGAACCAGAATCACATCTGGTGGCCTCAGTGGTTGTATGTTTGAAGTGAGTCTTGCTAATCTGCAGAAGGAAGACCTTGAATTTGGAAAACTCAAGCTGATTGTTGAGGATGTTCAGGGCCCAAGCTACCTAACTTCGGTGGCCCTGGACAGCATACTCCATGATCAAAAAATGGCAGGGCGGGATTAGAGCTTGTGATGTCAAGACGGCTATGTTGCTTGCATTGCTTGTTCTGTGTTGGTTCTACTAGGTAGGCAGGGAAGACTGTTACGCTCTGTGTGTCTAGGTCTGCCAAATCCGGAAGAAGATGATAGAAATTATGCCTAGGATGCTACAGATAAATGACTTGAAAGAAGTGGTTAATAAGTTGATTCCAGACAGTTTTGGAGAAGGTATAGAAGAGAATATGGCCAATCTCTTTTTAACCTCTTTGTGATGTGTCTTCGCTGGAAAAATGAAAGATGCTGAAGAGTCTTATGTTTGAGTTGGGAGGTCACGGGGCTTCATGTGAAGGCAGTGGTTCTGGAATAGCTACTGGCAGGCACACAGGTGCTGAACTTTTGATTTATTACTTCTAAACTGTTTATTTACTCTCCACCATCAAGCATAAGCAGGTTAGAACATTCCCCTCCTTTAAGCTTTTCTTTTTCCCTGCATCTTAAAGTTTTAGAGGTACTATTTTTTTTTGTACCGGGGACTGAACTCAGGACCTTGAGTTTGCGAGGTGGCAGGAGCGGTGTCATTGAGCTAAATCCCCGGCCCTTGGACCTACTATTTTTATAGAGGAAATACTTACAACATTTATATTCTATTTTGTAAGTATAATTAAGTCTTCATCCTTTTCAGTAAATGTTTCAAAATGGAACATTTAAAAATTTTTATCTTATGATTATATAAAAATTATTCACCGACAAGCTATCAGATTCAATAAAAAAATAAATATAATCTTGGGCCAGGAAAAGTTTACTACTGAAACTCTCCTCAATGAAACAAATAGATTAAGAAACATTTTTTTCTAAATGTCTTTTCTATTTCTCGTTGTGTTCTCAGCCACTTTTTCTTGAGTCCCATGAGAGCCTTCTATTCTTTTCTACTTTCCACGTCACTCTGCTGATTACGCCTGTATTTTTTATAAGATGTTTGCACTTCTATGTCCAAAATTATGTTTTATTTTGCTATCATAACTAGTAGTTTGACTTTCAAAAAATCACTTTCTTTGCTCAGAACTTGAAGGCATTGTCCCTGTGTCTTTAGAGATTCTGATATGTTTGATTTTACTTTTGCTCTGACTTTTTTCTCTCTTAGGAGGCTTTTAGGATTTTCTCTCTTTATCTTTGGAGTTCTGAAATTTCATCAGGATACATCTGGGTGTATTTTAAAAAAATTATTCCATATAGCCCTTGTTGTTTCTCACCTGAAAATTCCTCCATTTCTTCCACTGTTTTTACATTTCCTTTTCTGTGTTTAAGCAGATTTTTGAGTTGCTGGATTTAGTCTCTGTTTCGGTTTCTTTTAACTTTCACCTTCATGCTCTTTGCAGTGAGAATCCCTCAGCTTGATTTTCCAGGTTATTAATTTAGTTTTCAGTTGTGATTGTTCTGCTATGAGTTCACTTACTAAACCTTTCAAAAATTTTTAACAGATGCATTTTGATCTTCAAGAATTACAATTACTTCTTTTTCATAGCACCGATTTTCTTTTTTTAAATTAACGATTCTCTTGACTTGCTTGCTTGCTTGCTTGCTTGCTTGCTTTGGGACAGGCTCTCGCTATGCAGTTCAGGCTGGCCTTGAACTCATTATGTGGCCCAAGGCTGCCTCAAACATGCAGCAATCCTCTTGCCTTAGCCTACAGGCATGCGCCACCACGCCTAGCCTTAAATCTCTTTAATTTAAAAGTTTGTTTCCTCTGTTAGTTCTGCTATGATGGTAATTCTCTTTTATTTTATGAAAAAAAAAAAAACAAAAATTCATAACAAAATGATGAGAAAATACCAATAGTATACTGTATCAATCTTAAAAGTTGCTATTCAGTATACATGATATAGACAAAAAATACTCTTTTATTCCTTTTCTTTTTTTTGAGACAGTGTCTCACTATGTAGTTGAGACTGACCTGGAACTCACTATGTAGCCCAGGTTGGTCTGCAACTCATAGTGATCCTCCTGCCTCAGCCTCCTGAGTGCTGGGATTGCAGGGGTGCGCCACCATGCCTGGCTTCTCTTTTAAGAACAAACAGATAATAACACAAAATTTTCTTTTCAACGAACCAAGAGAGTCTAGTGGTACTGTATAAGTGAAAAAAATTGGTATATATATTAAAATATTTTGAAAATATGAAAGTGGTAATTTGTAGAATTAATTGAACTTCTCCCTACTTCCTATTTGTCTTCTATTCTGTGCTTTATTTGC